TATTAGTACTTTATAAATTTACATGCGTTTTTTGAGAAATCGGAAATAGCGTAAATTAGTACTTCCGGTCAATGGAAATTACTCAAAATTTGACAGAAGGTAGAGAATTGGATCTTTTACTAACATGTGAAATTTCATTTATCTACCTGAAATAGTACTTAAGTTATAGGCTTTTGAAAAATTCAAAGTAGAAAAAGTACCACTTCCGGTTATCGGAAATCGCTCAAAAGTTGATACGGATCTACGATTTTGATAAAATAGCTGTAGCGGTACTCAAGTTATCGTGTTTACACACACACAGACAAACGGACAAGATTGCAAAATTTTGTTTTTCCGTATTACAAGAGTTTTTCATTTTTTTTTTTTTTTTTTTTTTTGTTGTCTGAAGATTTATTTAGTTTTTCAAATAAATACAGTGCACTTCAGTTTTGAAATTTCAAAAAAATTTACACAAGAATTTCTCTATTTTTTTTTTTTTTTTTTTTTAGTATAGTCATTTATTTATACAGAAACTGACCACAAATATCCTGTACAAATATATATAGTAGTTCATGCCTAAATATTTTGTATACTGTCAGTCTGTGACCACAAAAATAGATCCCAAAATTCGTTTTCATTGTAAAAATTTGTTTATCAGCTGTTTGTGGCCATCATGAGCATGCTCTTGGTTGACTACTGTTAAACTTTCTCTTCTTTAACACCATCAGCAAAGAAATACACAAAGGGTATTTCGTCTGTTTCACCAGCTGGGGCTTCCCATCTGACTAAGGCAATGCTTCCATCAGGATTACTAGAAGATCCTGTGTAAAACTCGTAGTCAAAATTTGCACAAACTATCTTGAAAGTGTTTTGAATCTCTTTCCGCCATGCGTCAACATCAAATTTAGTATCATTCTCCTTCTTGTTCTCTTCTATACGTTTGACAAAATCCTTAAAATATGCTTGGAATTCTTTTTTTGACCCAAAAGCAGTAGGCATAAGCCTGTTATCTAGCACAACATCAATGCCAGATGTGGAGTTTTCATCTGCACCTTCCTCTTGCTCTTCAGCACTGGGATTAGCACCAAGTAAAGAATCATCAACCTTGTCTGAACGAGTGACATATTTTCCTTTAATTTTGTACAGTCCATCCTTTAGTTATTTCTCTATACTTCGTATATGCGAGAAAGTATAAATGGGAAGAAGTAATTCAGCTAAGCACGATTACCATTTGTAAAAGAAATGTATATTCACTTCTGTTAAAGGTTTTCTCGTTAAGTTAGAGTCAAATGGGAAGCCCAAAGTCATTAAATTATGCAGAGTAGACAAACAGTCAATAATAATTGTTGTTTAACATGATGATAAACAATGATTTTCAATTAGTTATGTAATTTTAAATATCTTTTTATTTTTTGAAGATAATGGGAAACTCGGTTAAAGGTTGTTTCCCTTGAAAATGTAAAAACATGTAAACGTTAAGTAGCTTTTTTTTTTTTATTGATTATAGATACATTAGTTAATGACATCAATACTTCCTTCATTTTGTTTGCCATAGAAAAATGTACCTTGTCAAATAATGATAATTCGAACTCATTTCTTAGATAACATTCCTAACATCTTTTGGAAAGAGTAACCAAAATCTGTTTCGATTTTAACAGTTCGAATTATTGTCTAAAAGATTTCACCCTACCTTTTATCTTACTAAAATCATTAGTAGTCCTGGTATTAATTTATTCAAAACTTGTAATTTTACATCAATTATGCCTATTAAGTAACCAGCTTTAACAGAAAGTTGTTATGCTAGAGGAAATGTGTCTCTTTATTCCGGCCATCACAATGTAGAACACAATAGGATAAAGCAAGTGTCGGCAACGTGCGGCTCGCAAGCCGCATGCGGCTCTTTTGATGTCGAGATGCGGCTTTTCAGCTCCATACACAAATATTAATAACGAGCTGACCCGCGACGTAGTATACGCCGCCATCTAGTTGTGTTATTTTCTGCTTATCAGCAATTCATAATTTGTGAATTCAACACTATCCCTCCCGCCCTCCCAGTGGCGTAGCGAGGGCGGGTGTCACCCGGTGCGGCCCTTAATGTTGTCTCATTCAGAGGTGTAGCTACCCTTCCCGGCGCCCGGGGACAAACTTTCAATTTTCGATTTGCACCCCCCTCCTCAAACTTTCGATTTGCACCCCCCCCCCCCCCTTTCCACTCTTGCCGGGATTTGTCAAATTTGTACTTAAAAGACTTTTTAACACTCGAATTAATCACTTAATTAAGTTGCTCTTCCGCCCCTAAAGGTTGCCGAACCCTGCTCTACGCCATCCGGACTGAGAGTTTTATCCAGACAGTGGTTTGTTGATTTTTTTTGGTGGGATTTTGGAATTTTGGTGATTTATTGTGGTCTTTGTGGGGTGGCTTTCATCTTTATGGGGTTTGGTAGTTTTTTTCTTATGTTCTATTAAGTGCCATTGTAGGGTTTAGGTTTTTTGGTGGTTTGTGTTGTGGCTGTTGCTAGGGATTTTAAAAAATTTGATGTTCAGTGGGGTAGTTTTTGTGGGGGATATTCCCGATGTTCTATCATGTATTTTCGGGGATCTTTTTGATGTTCTGATAACTGCTATACAACGGTGTTCCTTTGCGCCAAACAAACTATCTGCACATTTTTAAAAAAATCCTCAACCGTTTTTGAGTTTTTGAGAGATGTACATTTTTTTTATCACAAGCAGCTCCTGATCAGCTCAGAGCTTAAACTGTCAACACTAGGCAGCTTTGGATTTGCATCTATTCTTCTGCATCGATATAATTTCACCCCCCCCCCCCCCCGACATGTTAGACCCATTTGTCAGACATTTCTTGAATTTCCTTTTCAATTAGAATCAGATTGGGAATAATGTTTTTCTATTGTAATTTGAGAAATTGGATATTTTCATTTCCTTTCTCCTTTCCCACACCCTTCCCAGCCCGACCCCCCCCCCCCCCCCTCAACACACACACTCACACACACACATACCCCCACACACACGGTCGCCATCAGCTGACACAATCATCAGTGCAGAAAGGACAGATAGTTATGTTGCAACTGTTTAATTAAAATTTCGTTCGTCATACGTTTTCAAGATGTAAAGTGTATATAGTATACTATAAATAATTTAACAGTGATTTACATCGTCGGAGCTTTTGAGGTTTATAAGCATAAATCTCTGTGTCGTAGTTTTATAGTGTTCATCAGTTTTATTTGTGTTTTAATTCCTTTATTTCATACTAAGGTGTGAGTATTTTAGTTGACTTGTAACACACGAGTGCACCTCTATCTTAGCTCACGTGTAAAGCAAAATCGATCTCAGCTCATGCGTACACGTCTACCTTCGCATGTGTACATGTTTATTCTATTTAAGGCTATGTGTACAAGTCTATATTAGCTTATGTGTACAAGCCTATATTAGCTTAGGTGTGCAAGTCTATATCAGTTTATGTGTACAAATCTATATTAGCTTGTGTGAACAAGTCTATATTAACTTGTGTGTACACGTCTATATTAGCTTATGTGCACAAATCTATATTAGCGTATGTGTACAAGTGTATATTAGCTTACAAGTCTATATTAGCGTATGTGTACAAATCTACATTAGCGTATGTGTACAAGTCTATATCTATATTTGCTCCCGTGTACACCACATCGATCTTCATTCACGTGCATGAGCGTATGTGAGCACACACTGTACAATGTCTTTAAATGAGGCTAAAGCTTCACCCTTCACATAGCTCTCCGAAAGACTAACAAATTAAGGTTTATAAACCACCGCTTATTCACATCACTGAGGGAAAAAATGAAATCAAAACAAACCGGAGGCGATGTTAGTGCGCTAATCACACGGCCAATTATCCAGGGGATATCACGTATTAGATGGTGATATTTCCATCCCAGTCTTCACACAAACTACAATCTTCGCGTAAAACCACTAAGCTGTACTGGCGTCCTTAGCAGCGTACAACTATATCGACAAGCAATTCATGAGTGAGCAGGTTTAAGACACGAGAGTACACTGTTATGTTTTGGTTTGATCGAAGAATAATTACACGGGATTTAGAGGGGTTGTGTTTTATTTTTGTTACAAGACCAGGGGAGGGAGGGGTTGGTTAAAATGTTTACATAATTACGTCTTAAATCTTAATTAGTTTGAGAAACAGAGGTGTCCATCAGAAAACCGTTGTTATGAAAAAGATGCCTTTAATACCTTAACTTGGGAAACATAATAAAAATGTGCATAAATTTATATATCTTTAGAGGTTCATATCTATATATATATATATATATATGTATATATATATATATATATATATATATATATATATATATATATATATATATATATATATATATATATATATATATATATATATATATATATATAATATATATGTATATATATATATATAATATATATATATATATATTATATATATATATATATATATATATATATATATATATATATATATATATATATATATATTTGTATTTAGTAAAGTTCCCTTTTCGAACCTAACGGTCCATGAGGCAAGTGAAGTAGAGTTAACCTGTATCTGTGACCTCGGCATATGAAGGGCTAGTGTGGTCAGCGTTATACCCAGCCGCCTTTACTTTCTCTCACGTGTCAGGTACCCATCAGAGTTGGTTGGACTCAGGGACGTTCTACGTACTTGAATATACACACACGTATACATATTTACACAGACACACACAAATATATATATATATATATATATATATATATATATATATATATATATATATATATATATATATATACATATACATATACATATACATATACATATACATATACATATACATATACATATACACATTTATATATATATATATATATATATATATATATATATATATATATATATATATATATATATATATATATATATATATATATATATATATATATATATACATTTTATTTCCACTCACCCCCCCCCCCCCTTGATACCCTCCTATGCCTACCTTTCACGATGAAGATCCATGGGTCTGTCAGCTGGTACATGCTATGTCCCGGTGAGGGCGCCGTTGTTGTTTCTGCTCCCTCGATCCTGGCGGCTCCCCCAGTCTACGAGCACGGGGCCTCGGGCAGTCGGTACTTGAAAGACTTGCTCGTGCGCTGGAACTGCTCACCCAGGCTGGGGTATCCAACTGTCAAGCGTGTAGGTATACACTCCATTGTGTTCATAAAGTCAACGCTACACTCCGCGCGTGGTAAGTTAATGATGGATTATTAATGGATGTAACACACGCTGGATTAGATTTAATCGTGGTGTTAATCCATCGATGAATGAGCACACAGTTCAACCACGGAAATCACAGCGGGGTCGGCATTGCCAGATTAAGCATCTGGTTTAATGACAAGTGTATTCATACGACGAATCGCTATATAAAAATACATCGGCCAACCAATCGATTGATACAACATTACAAAAATTCAATGTAAAACATATTTAATAAATGTTTATTGGATTGATTATTGATTTTTCTTAATCGAAAAAAAAAAAACAACAACTAAAAATGAATGGTCTATGTTTTAGCGAGTTCTTCAAATCACTTTCACAGTTGAAATATAAAATATTTTCAGAACTTACTATGTAGAGCTAGTTAGAATTATACACAACGTATCGTGTAATATCCGGTAAATCATATTTTTGTTTGAGAAAATGAAGAGGGAATATAGAAAGGGAAAGAGAAGGGAAGCGGAAGTGAAGGAGGGAATGTGAGATGAAGGAGGGAGTGAGGTGGGAGGGACGAAAGAGAAGAGAGGGAGATTGAGTAAACAGAAGATACATAGAGATTACGGAGAAAAGAGTGGGAAAGAGAGGCATGGAGAGAAAAAGAAAAAGAGAGAGAAGATAAAGGATGGGGGAGAGAAAGTGGGTTGGTGAAAATATGGAGGGTTTAGTTGGGGTGGGGGTGGGGGGTAACGAACCGTGAGAGTGAGATAAGGCCCCCCATTAAAAAGCTCAAAGCATGATGTCAGTTTTAAGATACACGAGCAAGGATTCCGCGGACCATCAATCAGAACTGTCGGCAAACCAGATACAACCAGATACAACCAGATACAACCATATACACACAACCAGATACACACGACCAGATACACACGACCAGATACACACAACCAGATACACACAACCAGATACACACAACCAGATACAACCAGATACAACCAGATACACACAACCAGATACAACCAGATACAAACAGATACAACCAGATACACATAACCAGATACACACAACCAGATACAACCAGATACAATAAGATACAACCAGATACACACAACCAGATACAACCAGATACACACAACCAGATACAACCAGATACAACCAGATACAACCAGATACACACAACCAGATACAACCAGATACACACAACCAGATATAACCAGATACAACCAGATACACACAACCAGATACACACAACCAGATACACACAACCAGATACACACAACCAGATACACACAACCAGATACACACAACCAGATACACACAACCAGATACACACAACCAGATACACACAACCAGATACACACAACCAGATACACACAACCAGATACACACAACCAGATACACACAACCAGATACACACAACCAGATACACACAACCAGATACACACAACCAGATACACACAACCAGATACACACAACCAGATACACACAACCAGATACACACAACCAGATACACACAACCAGATACACACAACCAGATACACACAACCAGATACACACAACCAGATACACACAACCAGATACACACAACCTGATACACACAACCAGATACACACAACCAGATACACACAACCAGATACACACAACCAGATACACACAACCAGATACACACAACCAGATACACACAACCAGATACACACAACCAGATACACACAACCAGATACACACAACCAGATACACACAACCAGATACACACAACCAGATACACACAACCAGATACACACAACCAGATACAATCAGCCAACCAATGGGCTTCCAATGTGAATTAACGCCCCGCATTCATGATGATGGGCTTGCTAACATTGTGATTTAACACCAGTAATGGGCTTGGTAGGATGGTGAAGTAACACCAGTAATGGGCTTAATAGCAATGTGAATTATCATCACCTATGAGCTTGTAAGCTTGCTGAATTAATGTAATCGAAAGACTTGCTTTCGAAGTTGAATTAACGCAACCTAATGGGCTCGCTAACACGTTGAATTAACGCCACTAATGGGCTTGTTAACATGATGAATTAAAGCAACTATTTGGCTTGTTAACACATATAATTAACATACAATTAAGGCAAATAATGGGCTTGTTAACATGATGGATTAACACCACCAAAAGACTTGCTAAAATGTTGAATTTCCGCTACTAACGGGCTTGCTAACACGTTGAATTAACGCTACCAATTCGCTTGTTAACCTGATGAATGAACGCCACTAATGAGCTTGCTAACACGTTGAATTAACGCCACTAATGAGCTTGCTAACACGTTGGATTAACGCCACTAATGAGCTTGTTAACCTGATGAATTAACACCAGCAAGTGGCTTGCTAACAACGGAGACAAAACCTATTGCACATGCCCACCCTTAAGAAGATCAGTCTTTATTAAGACACTTTGTTTCTCCCTGAGACGGACACTTAAGTTTCCACCCACCAAAAGTCTCAGTAAGGCAAGAAATGCCAACGTCCCTCCTAGACATCAAGACCATTCCTCCACTACCCCCCTCTCTCAGTCCGTTTTTACCAATCCCCCACCCCCTCTCCATCTAGCTGTCGAAGAAATGTGCCAGGATTAGCCAAGATGGGGAGCTTAATTAAAACAAAACTGTCAGAGGCAAACGTTAGGACAGACAGGTGCCTCGGTAATTGGGTCGTTCAGATGGAGGTCCTTCTGACCTATTGATGGGAGACCTATGACCTTATTGCTGGAGTGACGCGTGACCTTTGGTATGTTGAGACGTATGACCTATTGTTGGGTTAAGATGTATGGCATAATGGTAGAGATATGTGATTTAATGGAGAGATATGTGCTTTAATGGTAGAGATATGTGCTTTAATGGTAAAGATATGTGATTTAATGGTAGAGATGTGTGATTTAATGGTAGAGATATGTGATTTAATGGTAGAGATGTGATTTAATGGTAGAGATATGTGATTTAATGGTAGAGATATGTGATTTAATGGTAGAGATATGTGATTTAATGGTAGAGATGTGTGATTTAATGGTAGAGATGTGTGATTTAATGGTAGAGAGGTCTATCGTAAGGTTAGATCTATTAATAGAGTCAGATAGTGTTGGTAAAAAAAACAACTATAGTATGATTTTTAACCAACCCAACTGCGAGTTTATTAATTAAATCAGCAGGATATTAATTGCTTTATAATTTAAGACAATCTTGAGTACATTATTTTTTTCCTTTAAAACGGTAGACGGGGAGTTAATCTAATTAAGTTTGACTAGTGATGTGGACAACACAATCAGTGTTTCTTCCAGACTGACTTTTTTTCTCCGGGGGGGGGGGGGGGGGGGGGCGGACTAAAGGGGGTGCGGACACTGTCAAAAGTATATATTTTCTATAGATAAATTTCATTTCGTTCTGGGGGTGGATTCCCCAAAGAGGTGCTGGAAGAAGCTATGAACACAATGCCTACAACAGATTGACATTGCTTTCAAGTTTTCAAATTCGGGCTTTACGTTACAAGAGTCCGATAATCCCATAAAAAATGGAACCGTCTTATTAAAAAAATGGGTTATAACCTGCAAATCTCAACGTTAACCATAACCCAAATCCAAACCCAAGTCATGCTACAACCCTAACCCTGGTCCTAACACAAAACAGTAAGGATAATATAAAAGATATTACAACTAACCTGGTCAAATTTTAGAAGAGTTATCATAAGATTCTGGCAAAAGTACTACTCCAAATATACTGTAAGCTAAGATACGCCGCCCGTATCGTAGCCCCACTCCCCCGGGATAGTTGACTGGTAACTAGGACACAACCATAGTCTTATCGACCCTCCCCCCCCCCCAACCCCGGGTAATGACATATAATTTGAACACAGTCATATTTAGTGACACGCACACACTTTTCTCACACAACACGAGTTTTATCAACACTCATTCCCTCGGCAAAGTTGAATCTAACTGCTCAACACAAACATACTGTGAGAGAGTCATACACACACAGACAGACACACAGACAGACAGACAGACACACAGACACACAGACACACACACACAGACACACACACACACATACTGACACTTCACAGACAACTAAACGTAACCCCACCCCTCGACACCTGCACACGGTAAGTCTTCATCAAGCCGGCGATACTAATCATATAATTACTGTTGTCTACAGCACCAATCAAAGCCCAACAAACATGGCCGACACACTCATTAACCTTGTGACGGCAATCAATACCCACCGTAATGTCAACCATTAAAAGCTAATCCGGAAACTTTTAAAATAATCCACAAACAAATTTATACTATACTAAAGGCGAGTATTATCTTAATAATCTATCCTAAATATTCTTCCTAAAATACTATACTATTGTTAAGTTCTAAATGAGAATGGCAAGCTTATATGAACACGTAAAACAGACGTGTCAAGAGCAAGTCTATATGAACAAGGTGTGTGACAGATATGAAAATAGCAAAACTATTTGAACAAGCTGTTGAGCAGACGTGACAATAGCAAGTCTATATGAACATGCAAAACATACGTGTCAATAGCAAGCCTATATGAACAAGGTGTGTGACAGACGTGAGAATAGCAAGACTAGCCTATATGAACACGCGAACCAGACGTGTCAATAGCAAGACTATTTTGAACAAAGTGTGCGACAGACGTGAGAATAACAAGACTATATGAACAGCCAAGTCAATATTCACGGGTTTTGTTTCCCAGACTAAATAATGTCGGATATTATCTGAGATCATTAAACGGAGATGGAGTGATTAAACGCTTGACTGGGCTATCGATTGATTGATTACCGTTCGTACGTACTGTTATGTAGGCACATATAGTATTCGGCATAGGCAACGCGTTTTTATATGAGATAAGGCTTTTGACGATATAAGTTAACTACAGTAAAGGCTGGCAATATAAAATAGTATACAGGCATAAGCAGCTCAAACGTTGCTCGAGTGCCTAGTTTCGGACCTGGGAGTTAGCAGGCGAAGTAGAGTTCAGCTGTTTCTGCAAGTTCAGAGCTTATGAAGGAATACTGTGGTCAGGTTTTTTTATCCACCTGTCTTTAATTCTCCTAACCCGAGTCAGGTACTAATCAGAGCTGGGTGGACTCAGGGACGTCCTCTTGACCCGAGCCCGGAATTGAACGGAGACTGTCGGGTTGTCTGTCGTAAGCCCTACTTCTCGACCACGCCGCTGACAAGCAGGCGAAAACATGCTCTTTAAGCATGCGCTATTGATAGGGATTTAAACCCCTCCCCCCCCCCAGCACACACAAAGCATAGCACATCCTGTTTTGGTTGCTGAGAGGTGCTTAGTAGCGGGGGAGGGGGGTGCCAAACTGCGAACAACCAGATATGTAGAGAAGCTATCATCCCAGCCAGCAATGTTTCTCCTAGTCTCCATAGACCTTAATACAAATGCCTATTCAAAACCGATACAGCGAAAATACACGTTTACAGTAAAATTCTACAGCTGCAAACTTCAATAAATATAAATGAAACCGAACAGAAAAAGAAAGAACCCACGAAACAAAAATAAAAGCAAAAACAATAAAAAAAATGATCCGAAAAAATATGACCAAGGCGATTAAGCAGGAAATATTTGAAAAGTGTATTCGAAGGTAGAAAAAAAGATGTTAGAATAATCTATATTTAAATTTGCATAACCCGCGTTAATGTAAATCTAATTACAGCATTCATCAGCGAATACAGTTATGTATTGTCGCGTTAATGGTGGCTTAATTAACCCGCATCGCCATTTTCACGACCACAAATTTAATAAAACATCTGGCTGTATTGTCCGCATTATTGGACACACGTGAATTTAATTATCTAGACATAAGCCCCAAGACTGAACGATAACTCTTACAGTAAACAGTGAGCAGTAATGTGATACAGAGTCTATTGTTTGCACAGTAGGTAGACCGATCCTACCACTTATTGATTGTTTGCGTTAGTCTTAGTGGTGAGCATACCGTTTCTTTATGTGCAGTTTACATGCAGTAAAATACAACTTGAGAACGTATCTAAACATCTGTATCGTAACGATTTTCTGAAAGTAAGTTACAATTTAAAGTTTTTACATAGCTTTATGTAGGCCTACATTGCGTCTTTCTTCTTCTTCTTATAGCATGCATTTAAAACGTTTTAATTTCTTGGATCTGTGTTAGGTTATGGATAATCTATTATAGATATGTTTATATTACGTATAAGAGCTCGTTTTATGGTACTTTTATACCAAGCATATGTGGTCTTGTTATGAATATCTGCACATAATATATGTATTCATGTATAATTAATTATGTACTTGTATAAATAATAGATAGGTGTTCAAACGAATATCATTAATATAGATGAGATTTAATGTATTGATGTGAGAGCACGCATCGATCAGCTGAATGAACCTACACAAGTGCTCAGCACTAATAACAAAACATCAGCGTTTAACCTAAATGGTCAGTGTAAATAATAAATGTCCTCCGTCGAACTATAATGTTCCTGCTTTTATTTAGCCTAGTGCTAGCTGTGTGCCGATTGATTAGAAAAATTATTTTTGGGGCACATTGGGTTTGAGAGTTGACGTAAACCAAATAAGCCGGCTTTGACGTCATCAAAACGTGTGTAAACTGTAATGCCATAATCCCGTAGTTCAAAAGGAGTCTCCGATTCCAGCAATATCCGATACTTCTGATAATGGAGGGGGGTGGGGGTAGGGGGGTATTTTTGTTTCTGTGACGTCTGGTTGAAATGTGTTTTGCGGTTACACCCCTCGTCGAGGTGAGTGGAATCGATACTACAGGTAGGGGAGCGGCCAGTTATAGAATCAATCGATGGTGATTGGTTTACTACGTACCCGAATAAAAAAAGTGGGGTAAAACAATACTATGAATGGGTGTGTTGGGTGGAGGTGACACGCGGTAATCTTGGGGTCGTACATAAGTGACCACACCTAAATGTTATGGGGGGGGGGGTAGTTTAGGCGTATGTACTATCGTGAGAGGTAGGTCAGTTAATGTGTAGTAGAGTGTGTGTATAGGCTTGCATTAAAATGATCAGTATCACCAAAACAACGGCATGGAAACCAGAATATAAACAAGCATACACGCGTTAAATATGAATAAACTCATCATTTATATGTAAATAAGTTTTTTTTAAAAACAAAAACCTTTTATTTGCGTTTGAAATATTATTATGGGAAGGGGGGGGGGGTGCTGGTTTGGGACGTGAAATTATGGCGGTGAGGCTTTGACTTTAGTGTGACGATAAGCGTAGACGGAGGGGTGTTGAGACGGAGGCAAAAAGATTGACGCACGTGTGGTCAACATCACTCAAGACATAGAGCTGACCATGTCAACATCTACCTGGATTGCACGTCAACTCGGTTCAAGCATCTCTTTATTCTCATTCATTAGAACTTCTCATGTGAACGTTTATTTTGAAACTCTAATCAATAATTAACATTGCATGCCAACCAGTAAGGCTACCACTGTGACGTAGGCTGTGGGGGGGGGGGGGGGCTTATTGGGTATTAGGATCTCCCATAGACCTCCAAATTGTAAGACGCCTTACTACTATCTAACAGATAATGAATATATATATATATATATATATATATATATATATATATATATATATAAACTTATAACCTATACCTATTCACGAGCTTTATATATTTTATATAATTACATTTTACAGATAAATCATATTTTATATTTAAACTGTAGAAACTGAAGTGCTTGTCGATTTGTTTAAAAGCAATTAGATATATAGTCAAGTGTATTTACTACGTTACAACAACAGTTTTTAGTCAATTTAATTAAATTAGTTCAGCCACTGAGTCGAAAACTGCTTATTAGAATACCAACTAGAACAATTAGAACTGATATTGACTTTTAACCCGTATACACATCCTAGAACGTGAATCAACACTTGAAGTAACTAGTTACACAAAACAATACCTCAAACATTGAAAATTACATACTATTTTGATTTATATATCAAACCATTCACATAGAGTATTGATGCTTCAATAAGAGCACGCATAATGTACGGTATGTACGAGTCATATACATGGACAAGATAATACCAGCAAACAATATTTAATTATTTATCGTCTCAATAACTTAATGATTTATTATATAATGATATAACACATATCAAACGTGTATGACGTAATGTCCTACATATATATATATATATATATATATATATATATATATATATATATATATATATATATATATATATATATATATATATATATACTTTATAGTCATAACGAATATGTCCTACATGCAAAGTGAATAGTCAAAACATATATCAAAAAGGTGTTATATATCGTTACAACACACACCCTACACACTGTGTAACGTAGTGTCACAACACATCCTATACGAGAAACCACGAGAATAAACCCATCACGCGCGTGTTCACGCCTACTTAGCTCCAACACACAACAAAAATCTGTTCACAGTACACACAATGTGCTGACGTCACTGAGTTCACACAACTCAGCTGTTGTTTATCTGAAATTCATCATATTTTTCCTTCCCCGTCTGTCCCTACACATCTAGCCTGGGTAATTCACGGCAGGGGATGTACAATGCCCTGTCGATTTTTATTTATCCCCACTGGACACCGAACTAAAGGGTTAGAGAAGTGAAAGGGGTGGGGGGAGGTTGGGGGGGGGGGGGGAGTTGGCGGGTAACAGCTTAAATCACACAAAACGTGATCGATATGCTATTAATAAACGGACGGCGGTTTGACATGTGTGTAAGGGAGATAAAATTGGGGAGAGTATGAAGTGGGGGGGGGGGGGGGGTGGAGGGGGGTGGAGGGATAAAACATGCAAGTAAGAATGGGTGGCGCAAAAATATACCATAAGGTGGGGGGGGGGAGATGTGTCATGCATGGGAAGATCAAGATATAATTATAAAAAGAAACAGGGGGTGAGGTATGAATGTGCTGGATAATTAATAAATGTCAAACGTGGTCATGTGACCTTATCACGTGCCACGACTTGTGTCACATGATCTGTGTCACGTGCTGTTTTTTTTTTTTGGTTTTTTCTTTTTGCCTGACATAATTCCATCAGAAGAACATTTTTGTTTTATACACTGGGTGGGCCGGTGGGCGGAGAATGATTAACTCTTGACTCCTCTCAACACCCCCTGCCTGCTATGACCACCCCCTTCCTCATCCCAACACCCACTCCCTCCTCCCCCAACAACAAATTACCCACTCCGTATGCAGGGGGCCTCCCAGATGTCACCCATCAAGGCCAGTGTCCATCTCCAGATGATTTCCATCAGGTCTGAGAGACCCAATACATCAGTCCGGCATATGAGATTCTGATGGAACAATTACCCGTAAAAATAGAAGATATTCACAGATTCTCAGCGTCCATATGACATGTTCATATGGTCAGATTAACATACATCAGTCCGGCAAATGAGAGGCTGATGGAACAATTACCCGTAAAAATAGAAGATATTCACAGATTCTCAACGTCCATACGACACGTTCATATGGTCAGATTTATTACATTCACACACACGTAGTAAATGAGTTCAAATGTTGATAAGACTACTCAACCCAACTGCCAGCCGCATATATTAAAACATTAAGTCGCATGAAGGTATTATAAACACCGCATGTATTCATACAAAAAGCCGCATGCTTTTTTACGAATAGTCGCATATATTAAAACAAATAGCTGCATATATACATACAAAGAGCCACATATATACATACAAACTGCCGCATATATTAATACAAAGAGCCGCATGAAAACATACAAGGAGCCGCATATGTACGTACAAAGAGCCACCTATATACATACAAAGAACCGCATATATTATATATTATTAAAAAGAACCGCATATATTATTATAAAGAGCCATATTTATTCATACAAAGAGCCGCTTGCTACTACAACTTGCTACTACCCCCCCCCCCCCCCGCTCCCCAGCGTGCCTACCCCCGGGTCTGTATGAAGTTGCTAGAACTCCACTCAGTCCTGACTTACCACGAGTCACTTTGACATTTACCCACCAACCCAGACTACCCACGTTTAATCTCATTTCTTGTCCCTACGCCTACACAACTTTTTTAAATACATTTTTTATAGCCTGACTTCTATAAATAGAATCACTTCAAACGTCTTGAAGTTGAGGGTAATCAATTAAAGAATGCTTTCCTTAACAAAGAACACAAGCTTTTGAGAGTAAATTACCTTTTATGCACGGAATTCTGTAAAGTTTAATCAGGAAAATTATGTTTTAATCCAGAATCGTATAAAAATAATTTTAAAATAAATTGTATATACGAATATGAAGTAAACGCTTAAAAAATCAATAACGAAACACAGCTATTAAAAAAAATCACATTAAAAATATTGAAATTTCACAGCCACATATTTAAACAAGGAAACCAACTTGTTTACTAATGCTCTGCACATGTGTAGAGATTTTTTTTTTAAATATGGAAACATACGTTGGTTTTCTCCCTTTTTATTACCTCCCTTGCGACGTTGAGATAACCGTGTTATTGGTTTTACCAGCTGTTTGAGTAGAGAATGGAGGGGAGGGAGGGGAGGTAGATCGCTTGATGTACAGACTAACTTGATAATAAATAAGCGATCGATCAAAAAAGATCGAACTGTAGCAAGCTGTTGTCCTACATGATTCAGAAAAATCTGCCCTTTGTTTAGTTTTTTACCGTAAAAAACAACTGGTATTGTTTTAACTAAGTGGTCACCCTTTAATCTTAAATCGTGCGGATTTTTTATTTAGAAGTAAAATAAATAGGTTAAAAATCTGATACGACAATAACTGAAAGACTGTTGTATGTTATTTTGTATAATTATTTTTTTTGTTGGTCAGATGAACTGATTAAGTAAGCCCCGGAACCCACAACTATAAAAGTTCATTAGAAGAAGAAACTGATGTTGTTGTTTTTTAGATGTGAGTTTTATGCTAATGAAATAATTATGTCTATGCTATGTATCTACCAAGAAGCAGTGAATTAATGTAGGATTCGAACATGGATGGGTAAGAACTTGTGAACTCTACCGTTAGACCACATCATACTATTTAATCATGGGTAAAGTAAGTAAAAGTAAAGCTCCTTTATCTTTATAATTAGCATTCCGTTGTGCAGATGAAGTAGAGATCATATGTTTCTTGACGTCGGCACTCCGCCTAGTCGCCAGTACTTTCCCCAACCGTAAGACCGGTACCCATCAAAGCTGGGTGGACTCAGGGACGTCTTACAGTCACAAGTCCGAACCGAGATCTGAACTCGAGACTTTCGGGCTTGCAGTCAAAGGCTCTACCACTCAACCACCCCGTCACATACATAAACCACGGGTAAGTGTTTTTAAATATATTATTATTTCAATGTGTGAAAAAAACATTTTAAAAATATGTTTACCTGTATCTAAAACATAATTAATCAACGCTTAACTGTGGATAATAATTTTTTTACAACAATCTGGATAATTTAGTGGTTAAGATTATGCGGTGCCAATAAGTGAGTATAAATGATATCAAGTAAGAATTTACAGCTTTGTAGAGAATTATTATATCGTATAGAGACAAGTATTATTTGGGGGAGATCACTCGTCAATAGTATACGTGGAGGTAAGTATGGTTTGGTAACTAGGAGAGATCACTCATTATATTGCATACATGGCGGCAAGTATAGGGTAGGTCATTCATCAAATGATCTACATTATTTATGGACGTAACTAGGGGACATCACTCATCATATGGTATACACTATACAGGGACGCAAGTATGATTTAGTAACTATGGGAGATCACTCTTCACATGGTATACATGGAGCTAGTAGGTTTTGGTAAGTAGGGAAAATCAATCAGTTTAATCACAACCGAAAGAATTGCTTCGATAATTAATTTTATGTTTTAAAACCCTGGAAGATTCACTTAACTTTTTTAAAATCTAATATTTCACCAAGTTAATTAATTACGAAGTTCCTTTTATTTGTGTTCCGAATATTTTTTTTTCTTGCGCTCTCTCTAGACTAATTAGCATCAGAGTAATTCCAAGGACAGGCGGGACGGAGGGGGTGGGGGAGGGGGGGGGGGGGGGTGTCAGTCGACCTATTTGGCCTGGAGTGTGGGAGACCGTCATTATCATACCCCGTAAACTGGGGCGCTGGGTGGTGAGATCGATTTCTCTCACATCAAAGTTTATTCCATATTTATCCAGACTTGTCCCAGGGCGCTAGCAGTGATGGTCGGAACCAAGTAACTCACGTAGTGAAGGGTCTATGTCCAGAGATAAGGCACACTGTCATTAGAGGATTTTAGACATACGATAAGGGCCTCTGTCATTAAAGATTTTAGACATACCATAAGGCCTCTGTCATTAGAGATTTTAGATATACGATAAGGGCCACTGTCATTAAAAGATTTTAGATATAGGGCCACTGTCATTAAAAGATTTTAGACATAGGGCCACTGTCATTAAAGATTTTAGACATACGATAAATGCCACTGTCATTAAAATATTTTAGACATACGATAAGGGCCACTGTCATTAAAAGATTTTAGACATACCATAAGGCCCACTGTCATTAAAAGATTTTAGACATACCATAAGGCCCACTGTCATTAAAGATTTTAGACATACGATAAATGTAACTGTCATTAAAATATTTTAGACATACGATAAAGGCCACTGTCATTAAAATATTTTAGACATACGATAAAGGCCACTGTCATTAAAAAGATTTTAGACATTCGATATAGGCCACTGTCATTAAAAGATTTTAGATATACGATAAGGGCCACTGTCATTAAAAGATTTTAGTTATACGATAAGGGCCACTGTCATTAAAAGATTTTAGATATACGATAAGGGCCACTGTCATTAAAAAGATTTTAGACATTCGATATAGGCCACTGTCATTAAAAGATTTTAGACATTCGATATAGGCCACTGTCATTAAAAGATTTTAGACATTCGATATAGGCCACTGTCATTAAAAGATTTTAGACATTCGATATAGGCCACTGTCATTAAAAGATTTTAGATATACGATAAGGGCCACTGTCATTAAAAAGATTTTAGACATTCGATATAGGCCACTGTCATTAAAAGATTTTAGACATACGATAAAGGCCACTGTTATTAAAATATTTTAGACATACAATAATGATTAAGTCCACTGTCATTAAAAGACTTTTGACATACAATAAAGGCCATTGACATTAATTTTTTTAGACCAACGGTAATGCCCATTGTTATTTAATAATCTAACCCAAGACATTGATAATGAACTGCAACAAAAACAGTGTATTGTGTATACCACTAATCCTCACCTTCTTATCGTGTCACTTATATTCAAGCATTTATTGTTTACAGAGTATCACACTCATCCTCTATAGTTTATTGTGTATCCTTCTTATCATCAACCTCTTATTGTATATCTTACTTATTTATAAATATATTGTGAATCCCACTTATCCAAAAACCGTTTACTTTATATTCCACGTGTTCTCAACCGTGTATTAAGCATGCAACTTATCCCCAACCGATTAAGTAACCTCCCCCTCCCCCTCCCTCATTCCTTGTGTTGTTTGAGCACGAAGCTCTATCAGATGAATGTAATGCTGCTCACGTTCTGGTGGTGTGGGGTGCCGTCTGAGACGTCACGTGACCAGTGGTACATTTAAGTGGTGTCAATAAATGGCCAACAAATTGGTGTCAATAAACGGCCAACAAATTGGTGTAAATAAATGGCCAACAAATTGGTGTCAATAAATGGCCAACAAATTGGTGTTAATAAATGGCCAACCAATTGGTGTCAATAAATGGCCAACAAATTGGTGTTAATAAATGGCCAACAAATTGGTGTTAATAAATGGCCAACCAATTGGTGTCAATAAATGGCCAAGAAATGTGTGTTAATAAATGGCCAACAAATTGGTATCAATAAATGGCCAACAAATTGGTGTCAATAAATGGCCAACAAATTGGTGTCAATAAATGGCCAACAAATTGGTGTCAAGAAATGGCCAACAAATTGGTGTAAATAAATGGCCAACAAATTGGTGTAAATGAATGGCCAACTAATTGGTGTTAATAAATGGCCAACTAATTGGTGTAATTAAATGGCCAACAAATTGGTGTCAATAAATGGCCAACAAATTAATTTACACCGATGGACGGGCAAGCCGTGTAAATCTATGAAATTTACAATATATAAATAGGACATCTTGTAATTCTATGGTTAACAAAATACTGTAAATATACAAGAGATAAAACATTGCCTGCTTTGAGCATTAATCTCCGAATAGCCCTAGTCAGCTCTACCTGCACAATATGCCGTGCGAGTAGCAAATAACATGGCCAGGCAGAAGTAAGTTTCTAAAGACCAGGGGTCAGTTCTATGAGGCAGAACCTCGCCCACGCTGATACTCTTTTTATAGACCGAAACTCATTGTGTGGCTGGTGACACTAGAACAGGACAACAGTTCTACAGTTACTACCTACTGAACCTACCTACAAAACCTACCTATAGAACCTACCAACAAACCTACCTGCAAAACCTATCTACAAAACATACCTACAGAACCTACCTACAAAACCTATTAAAAAACCTACCTACAGAATCTACCAACAAAACCTACCAAAAAATCGACCTACAGAACCTACCAATAAAACCTACCAACAAACCTACCTACAAAACATATCTACAGGTAGCCACCAAGATGAGACAGAACCACTGGCAGATGTTACCTGTAGTGTGAGCTGCACTGTCTTGTGAATATTCATCTCATAGAGTCATTTTAGGCCTGCAGAGTTTCTTCCAGGCATCAGTTCGTGGGTGGGGGGGGGGGGGGGCTTTGCCCCGAATAAATTCTACCGCCCCCCCCCCCCGAACGAAATGAAATTTATATAATTTAAATAGAAAATATATACTTTTAACAGTGTCCGCCCTCCCCCCCCCCCCCCCGAAGAAAGTCTCCCCCCCCCCCCCCCCGGAGAAAAAAGTCTGGAAGAAACACTGTAGGCCTGTCTTGTGAATATTCATCTAATAGAGCCATTTTAGGCCTGTCTTGTGGATATTATCTTCTAATTAGTTTACTAATTGCATTCATCTTTTTAGATTTCTAGTTCATAGCACATGTTATTTGAACTGTCAAATTTTGATTTGTAATTACGATAAATATTAAATTTTTTATGATGATGAAAATAACTTTTTTAAATATTGGAAAGAAAAAGAAAACA